GCACCGTGAGAGGGCAGCCACAGCATCACTTAAGGCACCTGGGATGGAGATGTATAGTTGGGTATCATCAGCATACTGATGATACCTCACTCCATGGCGCCAAGTGATCTCACCCAGCGGCTTCATGTAGATATTAAATAGAAGTGGTGAAAGCACTGACCCCTGTGGCACCCCACACAGTAGGGGCTGGGGGCTGGACCTCTCGCTCCCTATCAACACCGATTAGGTTCGGCCTTGGAGACAGGAGCTGAACCAGCACAACATTGTGCCACCCAACCCCAACTCCTGCAGCCGACCCAAAAGGATACCATGGTCGATGGTATCAAAAGCCGCCGAGAGGTCAAGAAGAGCAAGGGTGGATGCACTACCCCCATCCCACTCTCGCCGGAGATCATCTAAAAGTGCGACCAATGCTGTTTCTGTCCCATATCCAGGCCTGAATCCTGACTGATAGGGGTCCAGATAATCCGTTTCCTCCAGGATCCTCTGAAGCTGCCGCGTGACCACCTTTTCTACCACCTTCCCTAAAAAGGGGAGGTGGGAGACTGGACGAAAGTTGTCCAGGAGAGCGGGGTCTCACGACGGTTTCTTGAGGAGAGGGCGGACCAAAGCCGCTTTGAAAGGCTTCGGGAACACCCCCTCCTGCAAGGATGAATTAACCACCGCCAGGACCCACCCTAAGGTCACCTCCTTGGTAGATCTAACTAACCAGGAGGGACACAGATCTAAATCACAGATGGTCACACTGACAGCCCCGAGGACCCTGTCCACTTCCTCAGGGACAACAGGATCAAACCGTTCCCAGATAACTGGGCAAGAACTGCTCCCTGGGCAACTCTTCTGGACCTACTCCATGCTTGGCTTCCAACTGAGAGCAAATCTGAGCAATTTTATCCATCAGGTGTTCAGCAAATTCCTCTGCACGACCCTGCAAGTAGTCCTCCGCCCCCCCTTTTCCCAGGAGGGCCCGGGTGACCCTAAACAGGGCTGCAGGGCGACACTCTGAGGATGCAATAAGAGCAGAGAAATATTGACGTTTCGCCGCCCTTACCGCCACTAGGTAGGCCTTAATAGCTGCTCTAACCCATGTTCGGTCTGATTTGTCCCGAGGCTGGATTTGGCATTTTTATCCACCTATCAAGTCCTTTCCAAGGACCTGGGATAGGCAGATGTTGCTTGATGGTGTTAAAGGTATCGCTGCAGGATGTAAGCTGTTCCAAGTGAAGCTGCCTTTGCGATTGACTGATGGTGATTTTGTCAATGCCGATGGTCTTCAAGTCATTATTGTTGTTGTTGTTGTTATGTGGGGATTACATGTACTCTCCTTAAAAGATTATAATGTAGATTCCAGAATCTCAATAAAAATATTTATCTCAGTATAAACATGCAGCATCCCCTTGGAGTTATTGTAATAAAGTTGTTGCTTTTTTGTAAAATCCAGTATTTTATCTGAGAACTTTTACTCTGAAATGTAAAAAATGTCCTCTTTTAAGCATTGTTGTAATGCAGATGGTTTACAAGCGATATCATTTAAATCTGGAGTATGTAATCTGCTTTGAGCTCCCTTGGCCCTTGAATAGCATGCACGAGCTTGGAACCTATTCCAAGAAATCGGTGAGCCAGGACAAAAAATAACGTAAAAATGAGAGCCAGTTTGGTCTAGGGGTTAAGATACCAGGCTAGAAAGCAGGAGACTGTGAGTTCTAGTCCTGCCTTTGGCATGAAAGCTGGTTGGGTGACTTTGGTCATTCTCTCTCAGCCCAACTCACCTCACAGGGTTGTTGTTGTGGGGAAAGTAGGAGGAAGAGTATTAAGTATGTTCGCTGCCTTCAATTATTTATAAAAATGATAAAGGCAGGATAAAAAAAATCTAAATAAAATAAAATAGATATCATGATTTCTCCCCATATTTTTAATAATTTTATGCTTCTATCACAATGAAAATTAAAATTTGCAACTTTTGGAAGGGTTGAGTCAAGGATGGGGAGAGGCACAGGCAGGGGTGGGACTTAGATCGTGTGCTCCTGATTTAAATAAAGTAATATTTTTTCTTAAACAAAACATGTTTTCAGAGGCTTGTAATTCATGTTATCCTTGATGAAGCAAAAAGAGAAAAACTCATCGAAGTGAGTTGTTCAGGGCAGGCCACAATGAGCTACCCATTGAAGTTGCTTTTTTTTTTAATGCACATTACTATGTTTGCCTACATTCATCAATATGGCAATCAGTGACAGTATATATTTTATGATGCATTGCTTCATTAGTCATCACTGAGGCAGCATCGCTGTTGATAAGATACACACTGAAGAGGCTAAAACACAATCTGATTCCATACGGACTACCTTACCCAAAATGAATAATGAATCTGCCCATCCTAGTAGGACTTTTAGAGATAATCTGCTTATGGTGCTAACTCCATGCCCTTCAAATCACCACAAGGTGAAAGTGTGTAGGCCAGCAGGCCAATTTTCCTGAATGTGGCCCCAATTTTATGGAACGTCTAGGCCCTTGGCGACTGGCTTTTGGGAAACTGCTTAAAACCTTCCTTTTCAAATGGGCCTTAGATGCTCCACACACCTAGTGGGGAAGGAGGGTGGCCATCTTTTTATTTAGATTTTACTTAGATTTATATTTGTATGGTTAATATTTTTCAAGATTGCTTGCTGAGATTCAGATAAACCACCCAGAGTCATGAGATTGGGGCAGTGGAGGAATTACATAATAAACAAATAAATATGCATGCTGGGTATGGCTAAATAGAACTGAATTCAAACACATGAAAGCTAAATTCCTTTTGCCTGCCCAGTACCACACTGGGAACTTTATTTATAGCGGTAGAACTCATCTGTGTACTCATAAGTGTCACTGAGAGGACCATGACATGACTTGAGGAACTGTAATAATATCCTATTTTTTGCTCTAGGTGAACATGCTACTCTTTCAACCTCTTGGTGAGTCTCTGGTTTATTCCTGGGGAAAGAAAGGTTACGCAGGGATCCCAAAGACAAGTTCTGAGCTAAGTGATTCATTGAACTAAACTTAGAAAACAAATGTAGGTGATTGAGACAAATTAACAAGAAATAAAAGGTGTGTTTAAATCATCTTTACTGAATGAATGAAATAAGGTAGATTTGTGTTTGTAAAATTTGTAAAATTCCCAAATAAAGGAACAGAGTTTCTGGCTGAATCCATTTTTGATATCCCAAGGCTCCTAACCCACCTTCCCTTTTTCCTATAGGACTTTACTCTTTGGATCATTCATTCATTGTACCAAAAAAATATCTATACTGTAGCTTACTATGTCCAATCCATACATGCTCCCTCAATGCTACCAAACTATAATGTGTAACCATTATTTGAAAGTGGGCAGTGAAATTTAGTTTGCATTAACTTTTAGGGGGTTATATTAGATTCAGCCCAGTTCCAAATCCTGAGTTGAACTGGGATGCTTCAGAATAAAACTGCAGTTGTACAAAGCAAAGCGTGTTTAGCATCCCTAAGAAATTATTGAAATTGAAACAGAAGCCTTTAAAAGGGGTTTGGTACTTTGAAGTGCTACTTATAACAAATGAGAACATAGTAAAAAGAACAGCACTTAATATCAATACCAATGCAATGTTTTATTCCAAACTGTCATAACAAATATTTGCAATATTTTTGGGACCATCGGTACATGCAAATACTTGTTAGTTGCTTTACATTTTTTTCTAAACATCCACAAGTCAAAATACTTCTTTGAGCAATAGTCTTCTCAACAAATAAAATTTAATTATTATTCCAAAATACATAAAGGCATATTCTTTGGTTACTGCAGGTTTCTTACCACAGGACTCCATCACAACATCACAATTTTTCATTAGTATTGATCAGTAGGATGAATTAATTAATCTTATTTTTAACACCCATCTCTCACATTTGTAAAGGAGATCTTTATAGGAAAAAAACCAAACAAATCATAAAATTGTCCCCTTCTAAAATTTGGCAGGACTTCTCCTTGCAGAAAGTGTGGCAAACCTCTCCAAAACAACAAACTTTGCACTGCTATTCTAATAGGTATTTATAGAAGGTTGGCATGATGTACAGACACTGAAATGGTGAGATAAGCATTTTCAGTATAATTAAGCTACACTAAAACCCTGCAGATATTTTTTTTTAACTATCTGCATGCAGCTATGTGACTCCCACATATATCTGTGATTCTCCATCCTCCCTGCATGTACTTGATTGGCCACAGGGATCTTCCCCCTCTTATTTTTTTCTGGCAAGCTTTTCCATTTAGCTCCACAACAGCCTTATGAGGGGACAAAATTGGCTTTGGAGCATTATAGGAAATCAAATTGTACATTAGGCCCAGGCTTTTTAAGTGTTGTTTTCTTTCAGATAATCTACCCCCCAAGAGTCCCCCAGGAGAGGAGAGGTCCCTGAAAACAGCATTTGGGCCAGGCCTTCCTCAAAGCTGGAACTATCCTGAATTTGGTGAATAGCCAATGCAGAAATCAAATATAATCACTTGATTTTGAACAGATCAATCATATCTAGAACTCAATGACTGTATTCACACAACACATGAAATGCAAACTAGACAACCATGTTTTAGCCTAGGATGCTGTGTAAACCCAGCCAGGGTGATTACTGAAAATCCAGAAAATTGGAATGAGTAAACCCTAATTAAAGAACTTACGGGCAGTATGTTGAATGAACACAGACCCTCTGTGCATGTGTGTGTGTGTGTGTGTGTGTGTGTAAGTTTGTGTGTGTATACATATACACAGAGTCTGCGTTTATTCAACACATTTGCCCATAAGTATCACTGGGTTTTGATGGGGTGCCAAAAGCTTATATATGAACCCTAATCAAAACCTGATTGAAATAACTTGAAATCTGCTTCCAGTAGCTGCATACCTTCCATCTAAGCTCTCATTCTATCTTCTTACTGGTGTTGCTTTAAGAGCAGGTGGTCTGGAGAGAATAACTGTCAAAGCATTTCTCCACCCTCCTCTATGCTGGCTGTAAGAGCCAGTCTAAATATATATATATATATCATCTGCAACTGCTGATAAAAAAAACCAGCCTAATAACTGTCACTGCCAAGGGTCAAGGCGACTCTTTCCCAAACGTTCTCCCAGATCAGTCTTGTTGCCTGGATGTAAAAGAAGTTAACAAGGTAAGATCAGGAAGCTGGTGGGTGGTGATTCCTGTCAGGTTAATGGAGAGGGAATACTATTATATTAACAAGAGAGGCAGTTTGATATAGTGTTAAAGGCACCAAGCTAGAAACCAGGAGACCGCGAGCTCCAGTCCTGCCTTAGCACAAAGCCAGCTGGATGACCTTGGGCCAGTCACTCTCCCTCAGCCCTAGGAAGGAGGCAAGGGCAAACTACTTTCAAAACCTTGCCAAGCAAACTGCAGGGACTTGTCCAGGCTGTTGCCAGGAGTCAACACAGACTCTTGAAGTCATAAAATAAATATGAGGAAGAAAAAGATACCAGCAATTTAAATCTTTATTTGCTAGGATGTAATTTTCAAGTTTTTTTTCAGCAAAGAATAATATCAGATTAGCTAGGGTAGAACTGGTGAGTGAGAGATTATTCATAGAATTTTTTTCTGGATTAAGGAAAAGTGTGTGATATCCTCGCTAAATAAAATAAAATTTTTAAAAAACACTATCTAGCTACTATCAGACAAACAATATTTTATATGGTTTTTGCAAACATTATGGTGTCGTATGTTCCATGAAACCTCACAATCTGGTAGTGGGAATCTGTCCCTCAATTTATGAGCAATTCTGAACTGCAGAATGTGAAATTACTTTCCTATGATTTTCAAATGAGGTTAATACAACAAAAGAATTTGTTTTATGTATATTGATCGCCCCACAATATATTCAATAAGGAGTAGTTAATATCACTCTACTGTTGAAGATATAACTCAAAAACTGCAACCCTAACTCATACAGGTTATTTCACTACTAGCAAGTTATATCATTTTCTAGAACTATCCAACCACTGTTGTGCCAAAATAACAGTAATGATGACAGATCTGCATCCCTTCAATTAAGGCTTGGTGATGCTGTGAAGATGCTGAAAGTCATGAATGAGAACATAGCCATAGACAAGTCTTGCCCTATTATTTATGTAGCTTGCACTGTCTCTTAATATATTTCTGGACCAATTGCCCCATAAAAAAGATGCACATGTTTTTCTTGGTTCTACCCACCAGTATTTGGAATCTATCAAGATATCAAAAATTGTAGATTGTCGTTGTGTTGTTTACCACCCTTTGAATTAGTCTTTTTTTAACAAAGTGTGAGGAAGATTTTCAAGGAATATGGTCCAGGTGTTTTAGCCGTTTGATTTATAATATAATTTCCAAGTCTTTCCCGACACACCCTTTTATTGATATACTTATTAATTTTGAGATTGTTTTGATTCTTTAATGTTGTATGATCTTAATTTTTATGGTAGATTAATTTAGCAAGATAAAATAGGATAAAATGTTTGTCTTTCCTACACAGCAGGCTGTATAACAGTGGTTTTTAAATTGGGGGTAATTACCCAAGGGGGTAATTTGGACATATCCAGGGGATTATGGAGCAATTTGTTATTGCTTGTTTGTGAGTTGAGAATCCAGTTTGGGACTGCCGCTGCTGAGACTCTTCTCTCTTCTCTTCTCTTCTCTTCTCTTCTCTTCTCTTCTCTTCTCTCCTCTCCTCT